AATTCAAATTCAGAATTGTTACATCGATTCGTATTCAAAACCATGGTTTGATATGTTGCTTTTCTGAATAGAAATTAATTTGAGAATATGCATTCCATATTTTAAACGACAAAAACGAACGCTTTAGAACGTCAAGAAGCAGCAGATTAAGATGCAATTTTTTGTTTTACTCACGAAAAATCCTGAATAAACTCAAGAAATGTTAGAAGAATGAAACAAATGTGATACAAGCGAGTTGTGCATGTGTGGACAAATAGTACAGGCAGTATTAGAGGGACAGAGACTCTGGTTGAGGATAATCTATGAAGAAACGGTTTAACTGTAAATATGAACATGCAGACATTTTTCAAACTTGGATCGTCAAGAAAAGCCATAGGCGCTTTAGAATTACTTATCCTGTGAAAGCAGAGTTAAGTAAATAATGAAATTAATACTTTAACAAAGAAAATTATACAACAAGAGCAATTCTTCAAAAATAAATATCAGGTATCAGAAAAAGCTTTTATTGAGTGCGTATTGGATTTTACTGTGTAAAATGTATAGGGGTAGTTATTTTTTATAGAAATTCTTGACGCTATATTTTGACGTTACATTGTCGTTACATGTAAGTATGCTCCGCGCTTACAAAACATATTGATTTTAAATTGAAGTAATGAAGTAACTTGTGTTAATTTCTGTTAGATCAAATGTAGTGAAACTTCTAACATCAACAAAACAAATATTTTTACACATTATATTGTGTTTTTATTGTGCTGTTTAAAATTTCTAGTAAGTAATATAACGAAAATCTACATCGTCAACGAACTTATCGAAAAACCCTCATTCATGTAGGATTACAATATGCAGCCCTACACGAGCAAGAAGTTTGGTCTCAATATGAGTTAAAAATCTTCCAATATCCATTAACGTATCTGCCAGTAAATGGTTATAACGTGTCTTGTCTTCTTTACTAATTTACTTCTTCTTTTTCTACTTTTCTACTCCGTTCATATATTTTATTCCAATGTTTGATATTTTGAATTTATATTTAAAAAATATATAAAAATTATCTATTTGATTCACTAAAGCATGATTGGAAAATAGGATTAATATGAATGTTGTTTGTTTTATATCTTACACAAAAGTGCTTTCGAATTGCGAGTGAAAAAAAATGTCAAAAATTGTTTGCATTTTCTGTAGTTCTCATAAGGTATAAATGTATGTACCTGTTTAAAATGCACTTTATTTTATGAACAAGATTGGCAGTGTCCATATTTGCTATGGTAAACCAAAAATATCTGTCGGATTAAAAAGTAAAACAGGAGGTCACATTGGCTATAACTAATAAAGGTTCTGCGAGAAAGTTTCATTAAGTTTCATTCAGTGATATGATAGGAGTTGCGGATAAGAGATAGGAACCCTTAAGCGTTATAGATGAACGGATAGACGGTTGTACAACTAGACAGACAACCGGACTGATATCCTGATTATTATATACCCTCCCAATTTTAGCGGTGGGGGGTTATAAGTGTACGAAATGTATAAGCACCTTTTCTTATAATAATACAGTAGAAGTACTTTTTCCGTGTGCTTTTAAGGAAGGGATTGCAAGGGTCCGTGAATTTTTTTAATTTAATTTTTGCATGGTCGATAGAAATGTTAAAAAGGCTAAAAACAAATTACTCTGCGATTTTTTTTACCTATAGGTCTAGACCTATACACCTTTATCTGTTCATATCCATATTGCAAATCAGAAGTTTTCAAAATAAAAAAAATATTCGAATTTTCAACCTGCGGATTCAATGGAAAGTGAGATTCCGCGGAATTATGACCCAGTTGAATAAAGTACATGTACGTCTACAGTATATAGAAAATAACATTCAAGACTATAATTATAAATCCTTTTTTGTTTTCAAAGAATAACTCTTAACCAATATAAGTAACGTTTTATTTCAAATATTAATAAAACCATGTATAAACCATGTAAAATATACAATCAATAAGTTATTATAGGTCCTAAGTACATATCTGTTTATGTGTTTTTTAGTTAGACAAAGAATAATTGTATATAACAGATGCTTCTCCATATTATTTTCCTTTTTAAGTTTCAAGAAATAACTATTACTTTGAATTTTCAATATGTTATACAGTTGATATATTAAAAATGAATTTAAGGTGTTTGGCTTCTTACATTACAAATAATTGAAAATGATTTTTTTCTTTTTTAATTGTAAGAATAAACATAATAAATTATTTTAAGCCAGAAAAATGCATATGAATATGATTTAATTTTCAAGCTGTAGGTGTTCCTGACAAAGGGAGGTAATTCTCTCATTTTAGTAAAGAAAAAGACCAAATTTGTGTCCAACATATTTAATATTCATTTTAAACTATGAAATGCTTTCAAATCATTCCAACCTTTTGCTATCTTTTAAAAGTAGTCATAGGGAATATAAATATTGATAAAATAATAATGATAACTGATAGAAGATAAAATTTAATTCTTATCAAGAAGCACACACCCTCATACAAAAAAATGCCTTTTTTTCCTTTCACAGGGCTTATAAAATGAGCTTGGAAAATAAATTAGAAATAATTAACAAGTATTTTTTTTCTATATATTTGTTACTTAGATGAAGTGCTTCCAAATGGTGTAAAAAATTGTGTATCAATATGAGTTACTTTTAAAGATATTTTAACTTGAATTTCCTCTGACCCATTTTTCTAAAATTTTGACCAGAGGAAATTCGGATTGATTCTGTTTGCCTCTTCCATGATTTTGGGGGATTTTCTATTTGCCTAAATGAATAAGTGTATTGAAACTCAATCTTTTTCTTTAAAAGAAAAGGGACATTTCATTTTTGGGGGACTATTTAAGAGTTAGGGGAAAGAGGGGAGGGTGGAAGGGGGGGGGGGTTAATATCTAGTTTCATGCCCACTCACATTACCTGAGGATAATTCTTTAATAGTTTGACTAATCATGGCTTTGCCTGTTCCGAGTTGAGAGAATTTTACAGACATTTCAAATATTTTTCTATGCATACTTTGCTCCACTTGTGGCCCATCCTTCCCCCAGGAATTATTGAATATAGGGTATGTAATTAAGCTAAATTTCACGTAAATGTCATCTTTTCTTCAGTGGTTCTTCAGAAGATTTTTGAATAATGCCACCAAAATTCTTAATTACCCCCCACTTCAAGAGGGCGAGACACTTCCTATGAACAAAGTTAAATCCCCTTAATTGAAATTGGGCCAGTTGGTCTTTCAAAGAAATAAAATATATGAAACTTTACACACCCCAGACAAAAGACCGATTGCCAGACAATCTTTGATCAGAAAAGCTCACTCGGGCTTCCGTGTCAGGTGAGCTAAAAACCACCACATAGTAATCATTTCACTATAAACGTTTCACAGCAAAATTCCAGTTATTGAAAATGAAGGGAATAAAAAAAAGACTAAATGAATGTTTTGAACTACTAGTTGTTCCAATAACAGTTAGTTTAATTTGCGTCATGCAATGTAAATCTCTCTTGATTTCATTGTATCAAACAAAATGTTCTTTATTCAAGATGAAAAATGATCAACTATTTAACTTTATTCAGATCCATGTTCCTTGTGATAGAGATCTATCAAATTGTTACCTTTACAAGTAACATACAACATTTTTATATACTGTTAACATTAGATTTTTTGTGCCTTTGACAGAAAACTGCTGTTGCTATATCAAGAACATCGCTAACTTTATGACCTGCGTATTTATAAGTACACAATAAAAATTTTGCAAGAAATCAAACCTAGCCCGATTGTTGAAAAATAGATTACTGCCAAGTATAGGTCATACACAATATTTACAGAATGTCCTTTCATATTCATTTGTGCATGTTTCAATTTAATATGCACATAGTCTTCTTCAATAAATATCAATGAACACCTTTTAATTTTTCATGTATGCTCAAAATATGGGTAATGAAAATAAATTGTTGTCAATTTCTAAATAAGGATTTATTTTGAATGGAAAGAAAATGTTTTGTTCAACTACAAACTACCTATTACAATAAACATTGAAAAAAACAATAGTACATGGCATAATTATACCCCTGCTCTGAAGCACAGGGTTTATACTGTTTTTCTTTCTACACTTGTGTGTCTTTCTGTCAGTAACAAATTTTTGTCAAATTTTTCTCAGCAAACACTCATCATGCTCAATTGCTCATCACAGATGCTTTAAGTTTTAGCACACTCTTTAGCCATGCCGTATGTTGGAATTGGTTTTAGACGAATCTGATGTCAACTTCTTGATTATCTGTGCATCTGTCTGTACCACAAATAATAATTTTTTGTCAGTTTTCTCCAAAACTACTCATCACAGTTGGAATTGGTTTTAGACGAATCTGATGTTAAATTCCTGATTATCTGTGCATCTGTCTGTACCACAAATAGTAATTTTTTGTCACAGTTTTCTCCACAACTACTCATCACAGTTGGAATTGGTTTTAGACGAATCTGATGTCAACTTCCTGTTTATCTGTGCATCTGTCTGTACCACAAATAACAAATTTTTGTCACAGTTTTCTCCACAACTACTCATCACACTTGGAATTGGTTTTAGACGAATCTGATGTCAACTTCCTGTTTATCTGTGCATCTGTCTGTACCACAAATAACAAATTTTTGTCACATTTTTCTCCACAACTACTCATCACAGTTGGAATTGGTTTTAGACGAATCTGATGTCAACTTCCTGTTTATCTGTGCATCTGTCTGTACCACAAATAATAAATTTTTGTCACAGTTTTCTCCACAACTACTCATCACAGATGCTTGAAATTTTTTAGACATGAAATATGGTTGGATTCATTTTTGTACGAATCCATTGTCAATTAACTTTGTTTATTCCTGTCTGTCCATATCCACATCAGAGTGAGGGTATTACTAGTGAGCACTGGCTCACAGAAATCAAACAAACAAACAACCAAACAAACAATAACATAGTTACATACAAAGAACATCCTACAACTGCGTTACTGCTCAGATCTGAGAAAATCTGCAACAGAATCAATGATTTTTCTAGATTTTGTCACACGCACACTGTTATCTGTTATCTCTGTCAGCACATCCTGTACTCCCTCCCTACCATTTCTGCGATAAGCCAGTTGTAAGTGTGATAAGGAGAGTCCACTGCTGGCAATCTTATTTCCCATTCCATTCGAAATCACCTTTTGGTCCAATAAAGGCTTTAGTGTGCTCATTAGACTTTTTGTTGTGTTCTTGTGATGGAATATGGCAAAGGCAGAGTTTGAAGTGAAAGATGCAGCAAGTTTGACTTCAGGGGAAGGTCCTGTATGGTCCAACAATCTCTTCAAGGCTAAGACATTCTGTAATGAGTCATGCGCACTGTATTTGTCTTGTAGAATTTCTTCGAAAAGGTGTAACTGTGAGTATGATGAAAGGTTTGGATGCGAAATTTTGAAAAGAGGTAAGGTATCAATGAAACCAATGACTGCAGATGAGAATGCCTCCAAAATGTTTAATTTACTCAAAATGTTGAAAAGCACAGGAAGGTCAAACACTTTGGAGTTGTGTCCAACTAGAACAGCATCTGACTCCGATTTCTTCATGAAGTCGATAAACTGGATCAGTGCATCCTTAATGCTGACTGTCTCAACTTCCTCATCATTGTGGTACATTTTATTGTTGACTACTTTTATTCCAGTAATTTCTGTAGCTTTTGAGGACATTGGTTTTTCTGGAATGATGTATTTGTTGAAAACCTCATCATTTCTAACTGCAGACAACTGCACAATATGAGAATCCCTTGCTAAAAATAAAAAACAAATAATTTAATTTTGATTGTAACGCATCATTTGATTGGATAAAAAATTAATCTAAATTGTATAATCTGGTTTGCTTACGTCACAATGACTTACATCAAATTGTATCAATCCGCTTGACGTTACGTTTAAAATATGAACTATTTGAAGGCATTATAAAGAGAACATTTGTCTTGTTTTATATTCTTGATGATTGAAAATTAAATCATAAGGAGTAAATTAAATGGCAACCCAAGTTATACTGCTCCAACCTGGGTTGGAGCAGTTTACGCTTTTTTATAAACCGCTTTGAGGTTTAGAAAGCGTAAACTGCCCCAACCCAGGTAATACAGTATAATTTGGGTTGCTATTTAATTCATTCCTTAAGTAAATTCAAGTTTTTAAAATTAAAAGCATTAAAAAAATACATACAAAAATTTATATATTTTAAATGTATTATATTTAGCATGTATGATATTTGGCAGAAATTGACTTTTGAATAAGTAAGCGTAGATTTGATTTAGCGCATTTCTTCATTTTCTTCTTTATGTGTATATGTGCAAGACATTTAGCGTTGTACTTGATTTAGCGGTTGCTGCGTTTCGCCAAACCCGCTATTAGAATACACAGCCAAATGTAATCCGTTTACAGTATGCATGATTTAAAAAATTTTGAAACATTATAATAATAGTAACCCTCTTCCCCAAGACTTAACTCCTTCAAAGATGCTTGAATTCTTTCAGAATATGCAATTTCTTTTTAATCAGTGTCCTCAGAAGGAAGGATAAAGTTTTGAATGATATAAAACATGCTCAACTACTTGTACCAATACCGGAATTATGCAAGAGTCTCCATTTCTATTCGTTTTCTATGATAACTCTAGTATTATTCCTTCAAAATGCATACAAAAGAAATACCGGAAGAGGGCCATAACCATCAGCATTGACTTAACATTTAAATCTAGGTTCTTACCGAGTCCAGTAGTTTCCAAATCAAAATAGATCTCTTCAGCATTTAACAGCTGACTTGAAGGGAGATGATCATACTTTGGAATTGTTTTTGGAGCTGGAATTTCAACGATGTAAGAGGCCTGCTGGAGATCACATCCTGTTAAATAACTGATGCCTTCCCTTGTTTCTATTGTAGAAATACTTTGAATTCTGTAAAGAAGATGTATACTGTAAAACAAATGATTCGAAACTGAGGTCTTACAAAAGGCCTAGCAAAATAAACAATCACCTAATATACAGCTAATAAATTAGGAGTTGTAAATAAATGAAAATCCTGAGCACATCGACAAGGAAAGAGCACAAAGTAGACCAGAATAGAAAAGTTATGGTACATGTAATTTACTGAAGGGGGGGGGGCTTAAATTTTATCACTACTTAAGAATGCCTCCATATCAATACAGCATATAACTTTTTTAACATTTTGTTCGTATATATTACTTAGTAATAATTTGAATTTGATTCCCCACTGTTTCCCTCCCTACCACAAAGGATCAGGATTTAAACAAATTTAAATCTTCAATACATGAGGATGTTTACATTTCCATATGACTAAACATAGCTTCTCTTTTTTTTCGAGGGGGGGGGATTTTTTCCCTTTATTTTCCTATGTAAAACTTTGATCCACCATGTATGATTTGAAAAAAAAAATAATTCTACTTTACCTGAGGATGCTTCCATATTAATATCACCAATCATAGCTTTGCTATTCTTGAGAATTTTTTAAAAAATATATTGTACTGTAAAATTCAATTGTGGCCCCACCCTATCCCTGGGGGTCATCACGACATGATTTAAACAATCTAGAATCTACACTACCTGAGGATGATTTCATATCAATATCACTTATCATGGCTTTGCAGTCCTTAATTGAGAAGATATTAAAAGATTTCAAATTCTCTATATATTCCTGTGTAAAACTTTGATTGGCTATGTGGTCCCACCCTATCCCCCAGGGTCAAGATTTGAACAAACTTGAATCTACACTACCTGAAGATGATTCCATATGAGTTTCATCTTACCTGGCCCAGTGGATACTAACTTTGTAGCAAGTTTGGTTGAAATTGGCCTAGTTGTTCTTGAGAGGAAGATGAAAATGTGAAAAGTTAATGACAACAGATACATTTTTATCAGTAAAGCTCACTTTAGCTTTCCGCTAAGGTGAGCTAAAAAACTGGGTATGTAGGTAGGTAAAATTTTTATTTTAAGATTGCAGCAAAGCAATATGCCCTCCCTTCTTTGAAAAAAAATATTTATCAAAACATGCTATTTATAACAAGCATACCGTAAATCTTTGGTGATTCAGAAAACAAATCTTAGTAACATGCAAAATATTAATTCCCACTTAAATTCATACTTATCATCATTCACTTGTTCTTGGTTTATTTTCATTTTTGAGGTTGACAAAAGGTTTTTTACACCTGACAAATGACAATCAAAGTATACTAGTGCGTACTTCCTGGCTTTCAATTCTCTCCTTCTCCTTTTAAATTTCTGTGTCACTGAAATGGCCTTCTGTCGCTTTCTTTGTAAATCCCTCAGAATGCACTGTCGTCGAGTATAGTAGCCAGGAGAGAGGCCCAATTTCTTGTTAACCTTTAATAAGGATAAAAGAATCTATTATGTACAACTACAATGTACATACATATACAATACAATCTGCTTTTGATTAAAATTTGCAGAATTTTCAAATGTAAGAGATAACTTGAGTGGTTCAACTCAGATATGACACAATAAGCATGAAAAAATAAAAATTTACAAACCTTTACAAGATATCTGTGTCCAACATTTTTCTGGGCTACACATGCAGCAACTCTATATCTGAGGCTTGAAGAAGAGCTGTAATGATGGGTCTTTGGGGCTTTTGCAGACACCATTCTGTGAAAACTCTCATTCGACTGTGTGCTTCCTAAGCATGAAAGACGATCAGAATGACTTGCATATGAACTGAAGACTTCTTTCAGATCATCCTGAAGGAACCTATCTTTCAGGGGTTTTCCATGTGGAAGTGACTTGTACATCAGGTTAGGGTTGTTAATGAAGTTGCACCACCTTGAGGAGCAGTGTTGGTGATCTCCAAATATGTGTAATGGAATTGATGAAAGGTCTTCTTTGATTTGAGAAGCATTTCCTTTTCCCTGTGCTATGGAGTAACTGAAGCATTTCTGAATGTACTTTATCACAGACAAAGTTAGAGATGAATGTTTTTTCTTCAAGGTAAACAAAGAGTTTGTAAACAGTTTCTTAAGATGATTTTTATCAGACAACTTCTTAATATCAGCATTGACATTAGCTTTCAGTCTTGCAATAGTTGTAGAGTCCTCATCTCCAATGATTCCATCAATGGTTATTCCTTTACTTTTCTGTAGATCTTGGACCATCTCAATAACCATATCTGCCTCCATGGCCTTTGAACTACCCTCCCAATTCTTTGAGCACTCATGGGCTGCTGGATTCTTGTTGGTTGATTCAGCTACACTGCATACTCTGCAATTCTTAGACCTCAGAGAGTATGACAATACTTTGTCGGAGAGAGGACCAACCATGGAACAATGACCTGAAAAATTACAAATTAGAAAAACTGTGTAACTTATAGATGTCTTCGTTGTTTTTATTAAAGCATTTTTCATGCATTTCTTAACTTAAAAAAATGTATGTCTTAATACTTTGGCAAGGAAAATCAAACTCGATCACTGATGTTACATGTATGCATTTGGTAATAACCTTTAACCCCTTTAGTCAGCAATGAACCTGTGCGTCCAGTGCACTATAGCATAATTAGGTCAAATATTTATTTTTCATGAGGGGTGCTGTATAATTAATGCAAATCGTTCAACTTTAAAAAAGTAAACAGTTGCTATAAAACGTGTTTGCAGGATGCAATAGGGACCAAATTCCTACTTCTTTGAAGTTAGTGTTCTAAGTATTGACAATGCTTTGGTAAATAATGTTTCTAATAAGTGTTGTTAAAAATTGGTTGCGTGCCATAGAGCGATTAGCAAATACGCTAACTGTGTAAAATCACCTAATATTTTAATATTTTGATTTGACTCATTATGACTCTTAATGATTTTTCTCCTATATATATTCCCGTGTAAACATTATATCCTTTTTTGGCTCCATTATCCCACCTTGGGTCCATATTTCGAACAAAACTGAATATGCTTTACCTGCATGAGCAACATAACTATTCATGGCTGTTCTTTAGATGAATATTTTACAATTTATATGGACAGTTGAACTTTGAGATATGTGTCTTTCTAAATTTATTGCATCTGTTTGCATACATATTTAATGGAATCAAGTCCTAAGCAAACTTAATGCATAGTTTATGTTGGGCACAAGCGGAAAGTAATCACTCTAATCATCAATATTTTTTTTTATTTTCCTAAAATTTGTCTACTGTAGAAGCATAAATTTTCGTGGGCATAAAATTTTGTTGTTTTGACATCAAAAATAATCTCGTCGTTGTTTTAAAACTAACCCTAGGTCTAAAAAAAAAATATGTTTGTTTCCTGTAACCCGACCGACCCATTCAAATTACCCCCCGGGTGAATTTTTTTTCTGACAAATGGCAAAACTTCGTTTGATCAATCAGCTGATTCCATTTATTAAAAAAAGAAAATTAGCTTGTAGCTTAACTTGAGACATAAAATATGTCAACCTAGTTTACATTTAAATTTCATAGTTATAAAGAGTAATCATTATTATAACAACAATTTCCCCCTACAACTTTCTGAAGATCGTTTTCTGCCGCTAGGCAGCCATTTTGGATGCCATGTTGGGTGTCCACTGTAAATATGACACCTGGTATATTGAGTCCAGGGATGTTTGACAATTCATAAGAAAAAAAAAATCCCGACCTACCGACCCTTAATTTTTTTGGAATGTTACAGGAAACAAACATATTTTTTTAAAGCCCAATTCAATATATAGTCATATAAAATTTCGTGTGGGATTTAATTTTGTTGAATTTTGTTAACGGAATAAACAAAATTTAATCCCCTCGAATATTTGTGCTTTTACAGTATTTTTACCTGATGAACTATCATATGTCTTTCCGCTACCCTGTTTTTGCCATCCAGCATCTACAGCAACAACTAGTCCATTTTCGTTCATCTCTCTGAAAAATAGTTAAATAACAGACATCAGTTATTAACTATGAACCTGTCTCCTTTAGAACACCCCCTAATGTGCATAACATTACATATTTATCAACACAAATTATACTGTACATGACTAAACCTTATATTTATCAGTGTATCAGATTCTATTAACTTGATCACTATCAATTATTATTAGGTATTCCCTATGATTTTCATTTGGGGATCAAAACTAAAACACGAGGCTCTTGGGGCTTGGGCCACAATACTCTAGGAAGTCACTGTCCCTGTCCAATCTAATTAAAATTATTTGTTAGATCCACTTGCATACTCGCTACACAAACATCTAACAACATCTCATTGAGGGTCACGTCAGAGGTCAAATTCTAATCAACCAATCAAATTGTCTCTTGCAAAATCATTGTTATTTGTTGACGTAATTGAAGAAAATAAGTCTAGGGTTGTTCCGAATTTGAACTCTGAGTGACCCTCTATAGGATGTTGTTAGATGCTAGTGTAGCAATTATGCGAGCAGATCTAACATCTAATTATGTTCCCCAAACGAAGTTTGGGAACATATTGTTTTTACTTTTTCTGAATTTTTTCTTTGTTCTCCGGTACTTTTTTGTCCACGAGTGTTCTCGTAAACTACTCATCCGATCTAGGTGAAACCTTTTTAGGGTCACTAGGTATGTTATGTAGATGTGCGGAACGAAGGTGATTTTGCCACGCACGTGCGCGCACGTGTAACACGTGAAATGACCAATATAATAGATTTAGCCGTAACATTTTAAATATTAGATGAAATGCTTTGAAACTCAAAATATAAGGATATAATAGTAGTATAGACATGATGACATGGTCAAAATAGCAAGATCTCAAGCGCATGCAGGTTCCCTTCGCTGCGATTGGCTGAAACTTAAAGTCTAAATATCTATTTTGTTTTCTGACTAAATCCTTTGAAATTTTGAACATAGTCTTACATTAGGAAGATCTACAGCATGATATATAAGAATAATCATGAACGCACGCACATGCACGTGTGCTGCAAACTGATTGGCTAAAACTTTAAATGCCTACAACTTTCTTGGTTCTCAATAATACAGGGTAAAATTTCAAATATGAATAGATATAATGATTGCCTACATTATACTACTATCAAAAGTAAATACATGGACGTGCATGCACATGCGACCGCACACAATGTATTAAAAGACAGTATACTTGAGTGTTTGATGTTCATGCAGAATCAAGAACTTCTAAATGTCAAGACATGTAACATACTGAAGCATGCAGATCTTTTTACCCTTGACCTTGAAACTTAGGTCAAGGTGACTGGTAACCTGAATAAAATGTTGATATTAGCTATTTACCAAAATCACCTTGACCTATGAACTTGAAATCGACCTTAACCTTTGTCCTTGACCCAAGGGTAAAAAGAAACATGAAGTACATGTACATGTATCTAGAAACACCTTTCAGAGTTTATTTCGGTTGACAGGTTAGAAGTTAAAGAGGTGGTGGTTTTTAATGACCTTGACCTTTCATCCAAATGTCACAATGAATCTTAAGTTCTTGGAATAAGATACAAGATTCAACTCCAACGTTAAATAGTTTAAGAATAAAAATACCCCCCACACCCCACACCCCCTCCCCCCCACACACACAAACAAATCAAATTAATGGCAACGTAGAGAATCACTGTTAAACTCAAATAACACCTCGGACCCACATAAAATTTCAGGAAAACTGCAGAAAAGAGCTCAAGGAAAGTGTATCAAAATATTTCATTTGAGTTTTCAAAGTATATAGAAATTATTAATTTATACAGAAAAATTTACAAATCCTGTCGTGTTTAAAATTAAAGTGCAGATGACCAAAGTTGGCATATAAGCCTTTTATAGCCTATTTATTCAGATGTCATTAATAGCATTCGATTCTACTGATTTGAAATAATATTTTAATACCAAGCATCCTTTGTTTAATTTACCTTTGAAATTTATTTGAATTTTTTTTAGAATTACGCAATCCCCAGAAATAGCGATTTTCGGTATATTAAAAATCAATATACATGTACGCTCCTTCGTAAAATAATCAGATATTTGCATTCATGAAAAAAAAAATTAATTAGAAGGTGTTAAACAATATAGGTCACATTAGCTGACACGAATGTTTTTTTAAACATCTCTTGTAAAACCCAGAGAGTAGCCCCCTATGCATTGGAAAAAATGAATAGTTCCGGTGTAACCGTGAAAACTGTCGCTAGTGCTCAGTGTCGCTCTTAATAGAATATATAGGGAAAAGAGCGACACTGAGCACTGGCTTCTGCGCATGCCTAGGGATTTCGGTCGCTTCAAATCGAAGCGGTGTCCCACTGAATTTAATTCCATGGTAATAGTATCCAAAGTCGTTGATTTTTATGTTTTCTTTGTTTATTTTAATCTTAAAAGAAGGCAAGACAAATAAAATTTTAAAATTTTAGAACTTTTCATTTTCACGGCTACACATTTAATCGCGGTAAATTGAACAGATAGTTGTATTTAAAAAAAAGAAGAAAAAACATGCCACATTCCCTCAGTCATTTCTTAAAAGGTGTGAACCACGCCGTGGGCGTTATCTCAGACAGGTGTCAAAAATTACCTGTATGTTAATAACTAACAAACACCGCTCCCCATGGTCGATTGATAATTTGATACCAATTAAAGGTGTGAACGGAGATAAACCCAGAACTGAAGTCTAGTAACGAACCTTAAATATCTGTAATTTATCAAAATATAAGTTGAAAAAATATATATTTATATAAGTTCTATCAACCAGTTTTTATTTAACAGATAAATAACAAGAAACACGCATAATTATTAAGAATGAGCATCAGTGGAAAGTGTCGCTCTTCAAAATGACACTTTCATATTTTCTCACACCTGACTTATATATCGTCTGTAAAACAATTATACAGTAAAATTTCTCGCCAGTTTCAGTTGATATAGATGATTTAGGTATACTTTAAGAATTCTAGAAGAAAAAAATGTAGAAAATAAATATTTTGAAATAGTTATGAGCGTCAGAATGACAGTTTCATATTTTCTCACACCTGACTCATATATCGTCTATTAAACAATTATACTGTAAAATTTCTCGCCGATTTCAGTTGATATAGATAATTTAGGTATGATTTAAGAATTCTAGAAGAAAAAATCGTAGAAAATAATTATTTTGAAATAGTTATGAGCGTCAGTGCTGAGTGTCGCTCTTCAAAATGACAGTTTCCTATTTTCTCACACCTGACTTATATATCGTCTGTAAAACAGGTATACAGTAAAATTTAAAGCCGGTCTTAGTTCATATAGATGATGTAGGTATAAGTCAATAATTCTAGAGGAAAAAATCGTAGAAAATAATTATTTGGAATTAGTTATGAGCATCAGGGATAAGTGTCGCTCTTCAAAATGGCAGTTTCTTATTTTCTCACACCTGACTTATATATCGTCTGTAAAACAGGTATACAGTAAAATTTCTCACCGCTTTCAGTTGATATGGATGATTTAGATATGATTTAAGAATTCTAGAAGAAAAAATCGTAGAAAATAATTATTTTGAAATAGTTATGAGCGTCAGTGCTGAGTGTCGCTCTTCAAAATGACAGTTTCCTATTTTCTCACACCTAACTTATATATCGTCTGTAAAACAGGTATACAGTAAAATTTCTCACCGGTCTTAGTTAATATAGATGATTTAGGTATGATTTAAGAATTCTAGAAGAAAAAATCGTAGAAAATAATTATTTTGAAATAGTTATGAGCGTCAGTGCTGAGTGTCGCTCTTCAAAATGACAGTTTCCTATTTTCTCACACCTGACTTATATATCGTCTGTAAAACAGGTATACAGTAAAATTTAAAGCCGGTCTTAGTTCATATAGATGATGTAGGTATAAGTCAATAATTCTAGAGGAAAAAATCGTAGAAAATAATTATTTGGAATTAGTTATGAGCATCAGGGATATGTGTCGCTCTTCAAAATGGCAGTTTCTTATTTTCTCACACCTGACTTATATATCGTGTGTAAAACAGGTATACAGTAAAATTTCAAGCCGGTTTCAGTTGATATAGATTATGTAGGTATAAGTCAATAATTCTAGAGGAAAAAATCGTAGAAAATAATTATTTGGAAATAGTTATGAGCGTCAGTGCTGAGTGTCGCTCTTCAAAATGACAGTTTCCTATTTTCTCACAACTGACTTATATATCGTCTGTAAAACAGGTATACAGTAAAATTTCTCACCGGTTTCAGTTGATATAGATGATTTAGGTATGATTTAAGAATTCTGGAAGAAAAAATTGTAGAAAATAATTATTTTGAAATAGTTATGAGCGTCAGTGCTGAGTGTCGCTCTTCAAAATGACAATTTCCTATTTTCTCACACCTGACTTATATATCGTGTGTAAAACAGGTATACAGTAAAATTTAGAGCCGGTCTTAGTTGATATAGATGATGTAGGTTTAAGTCAATAATTCTAGAGGAAAAAATCGTAGAAAATAATTATTTTGAAATAGTTATGAGCGTCAGTGCTGAGTGTCGCTCTTTAAAATGACAATTTCCTATTTTCTCACACCTGGGGGTCGTAACATAAAGGCTACTTAAGTCTAAGACTGTGCTTAAGTAGGACTTAAGTACATTCTTAAACTTAAGACCGTAACTAGAAGCGTACTAAGATTTGGTAATCTTAGCAAAACTTAGGCGACCGGTAGAGGTGACTTAAGTATATGTTAATTTTCTTGTTATTTTAGAGTTATTTAATGTTGATTTGCGATGTTAAAACATTCCTCTATACATATTTTGCATTAAAGAAAATAATTATCTCTATTGGACGCTGATTAAACATTTTGTTGTTGTGGGGGGGGACACTAATTCCAATATCACTTCCAACACAGCGTGTAAATACAAAATTTAATTTTAGGGATACGTCTAAAATTAGTGGGACCTTGGTTATAGAAATAAATTGAACACAGTAATAAAC